CATAGTGGCTGCAACAGGAAATCTAGTAATTTAATGAGAATTTAGATTTTATCTTCTGTTTTCAGTGAAACAACATGACTGCAGTGGCCATGAGATACTAAGGAGCACATGAATCCATATATACAAGGCCATATCCTCTCTGCTTTAATTCATATTAGTAGCAAGAGAACAATGTAAATCATGCACTGTAATAGTGATGTTCTTGTGGTAATGGGATTATGCAGTTAAATCCCACAGATTTGTTCTCAGTCAAATTCCAAAAGGCAGAAAAAAGCAGGAGGACAGATGTTGTTGGAATGTCTTTGTATGTCCATGCTCTCCACAAGAATGCCTGCAACACTACCAGAGTTACTGTGGGAATCCTCACTATACTGAAAGACAAACAGTGGGATCCTAATAGTCCCCCTTGGCCTCAGTGATGCTGTGAAACTTGTGTTCAAAACTTGCTGGCACAAGTGAGGATGCTTCAGAACACTTGGACTGGGTCACAGGACTCTCTCCCTATGCAGAGATGAGACCCATAGTGGTTGCAGTGTTAAGAGAGCAGCAGTAAATAGCAAGAGAAAATTAGAGCAATGGCTTGTGTGACTGTACCAGAGCTCACCTGTCAGAGCCTCCTTCAGAGCTATGCTTGGTTTTGCAGACCTGCTTCCTTCCTACCCGCTAAAATTTGTTTTCAGCCAAAACCTGCTAATAAACGTAATGCCTTAAAATAGCAGTATAAAGTACACAAATGCTTGTAAGCTGTACATGCCCAGTCACAGTGCTACTTCTCAGGCTGCTGCTCTGCTAAATATTAGTACTTTTAATGATTTATGTGGTGTCACTGAGCTGTGTGACACTTCACAAACATGTAAGAAGACTGGTTCAACCATAAAGTCAGAATAACTTCCTCGATTTCATGAACTGAGGTAATGGGCCTCCAGGGGAGGTCAGTCCACCTGGAGAGTAGGTGCAGATCTGCTTGCGGACAAGACCCCCACTAGTTAAGCATTAATTTCAACAAAAGGCATTACAAGAATTTTCCTAGAATAAAGAGACTTTTCCATATGTCTTTCCAAACTGGGTACTGAGAAACAGCAGCTTACAACTCTTTCACTTGAAGAAGCAAGTCCGATTGTTATAAAAAGAAAACCAGTGCTGAGTTGCGCTTTTCCATTGCATCTCTGAATGTATAAGAGTACAGATTAATAATGTGAAGAGGAAATTAAGCTTGATAAGGCTAATGACATGAATTGGGGAAAAAAAAAACAAAACCCAAAACCTTACTGCAAATACTTACTAACATGACTAAAGCAAGAGCTACTCAGTATGTACTGGCAAAGCCCCCCGACATGCGTGCAGGCACATGCACGCACACACGTGTGCTGCGTTTTAGAGCAGTATTATGCATTTGATACAACCACAGAACTAGTTAGACTACAGCTTTTTTCCACCTAGAAAATGTTTGCAATTCATTCAGCTGAAAACAAAAGGATAGAAACTGAAATGTCAAGGAGAAACTTGATAAAATATTAAACAAGTGAATTTGGTTTCAGCTGACCCCTTCATTTTAGTAAAGTATATTTCACGATGAAAGGATGTTGCAAATAACAAAAAGAATAATTTTGTTCTAAGAATAGCCATATTTTTCATTCTGGCATTGTTTTCATTCCCCTTGGAAGGCGTGAAATTTAATGCAAATCAAGGCAAAAACAACCATTAAATTGGAACTCTGGGTTCTTTAACAGAAAACTGTTTTTCTGAACACTTTCCGTTTAATGCTTTACAGCTGTTGCGGCCAGACAAGTGTTAATTTAGAGGGCAAGACAGAGCTGCTCTGGGAGAGAGAGCAATGTTTGCAAGTGGACAAGCAGCCAAAAGCAGCCGGGCCACAGGGCTCTGCACCCTCCTGCCCCTCTGGCTCCCCCCCACCCAGGACCCTCTCCAACCCCTCTGCTCCTACGGCTGCTCACAGCCAGGGCTCACCCCGAGCTGTTGCTGTGCCCAGCTTGGCTCCTAGCACGGCTTTCCAACCAGGGTGGTCTCTACTCCTTCCCTCACCTCTTTCTTTGAGTATTTACTGGAAACATGTTTGCTTAGAGGGGAGGGTTGATCCTTTTTCACACAAAGCTCCCCTCTCTTTTCCCAAGAATTGTGTTCCTGAAATCATATTTTATTCCAGAGAAATAAAACACTGCTAAAACTAGTCTCAGAAAGTGAAGTAGCAGGGTTTCTTGGCTGTAGTCTTTCCCCTGTGTGGTCGTTATCTGCTCCAGAGAGCTGCCACTGGTTATTAGGATCCCTTGTTAAACCAGGGGTGCTCAGAGGCAGCCTGTGTCCCTGTTTCCGTAATGGGGTGCCTTTGCAGCAATTTCACCTTGCTTCTGTTATTTCTGCCATCCCAACATTTTTCAGACACAGTTCATTCTGGTTTCAAGGTATGTTAACCATAGCCTCCAGCTGCCTCTAGGTAAAAATCAAGGCAACAATATTTGCCAATAATACAAAGTTATTCTGGATAGTTAAAAGCAAACCTCTACTTTAAAGAACTACAGATATACTTTACTGTACTGCCTGACCAGAAAGCAAAATGTCAGGTCACATTCAGTGTAGAGGAAGTGGTGCTCAAAAGGAAACCAAATCCTACCTTCATATATACACCAATAGACTCTGAATGGACTGAGATTAACCCTCAGGACTGAGATTTTTTTTTTTTTTTTAATTATAATACATAGACCACTAAAATATCAACTCAGTGCTTCACAGATGATAAAAAAGCAGTTAAAAATCCAGAAATTTTTACAAGGAATTAGAAAACACAATCGTGTCAGTATGCTGGTGTAGCAAACTGTGATTCAGCTGCACCTTCAATGCACTGCAGATCTGGTATAGCCCCCATTTGCCCTCATGTAAAAAAAGGTACCTGAATCCTAGAGAATACTTCAGGTGACCACATGGATTAAAAAAAAAAAAAAAACAAACAAAACTATACAAAGGTATACATCAGACAAGGGATGACTAAATATATTAGGGACTCCTCAACCTGGAAAAGAGGGGCTATGATGAAGGTGTACAAGACCAAGAGTGGTTGGAGACACCAGGTAGGGATCCATTGTTTTTTCTTATCACCTGCCAGAACTTGGGGGCATCAAATGGGGTGGTGTCAGGTTTGAACAAAGGTTAAGCACACTTAGTATACAATGTCTTGGATGTTAAAAACTCTGCCTGGGTTAAAACTGAAACCAGACAAATTTACAGAAGAAATACATCAACAGGTGTTAGATGCAAAGGAAATCCCTGAAATGCAAATTGTTGGGGTGTACGGGGATTCCTGAGCTTGCTTTCCCTGTCCCTCTGCTCTTTCCCAGCTTTCCACTGATAACTGAGAGGTGATGAGACTAACTCAGCCTTCAGCCTGATTTATTCTTGTTGGTTTTACGTCCTTTTGGATTTTATGTCTTTATATTATACTGCTGCATAGTAACAAAGCAAAGTCTCCTCCAGACGGACACTGAAGCATTTCAGTGAGTGGCACAGTTTCCCCAGCAGCAGCAGCAGCCACCACAGCAGCAGCAGTAGCCTGGTGCAGAGCACAGCATGTCTGGTGTGAGCCTGGCAGCCACCTGCACCACCACTGCCTGCTCTGGTGACTCTGCACCCTCTGCTTAGCACCCAAAGAGCTGCAAGAGCCCTTTGGAAGGTTTAATTACATCCAAAGTTCATTGAAAGTAATTTAGGATCTCACAGCATTTTCACAAGCCATTCTGTTTCCAACTACTTGGTTTCTGCAGGCCGAGGTATAGCATAGAGTGATGCAGGCAGCTTGCCAGTACCAAAATCAAGCTGGCCCAGCTGGAGGCTGTGTTTTCCTGAGCCTCAGGTGAGGCTCTGGCTCTGTGCTTAACCTCTGTACCATGATAATGCCCAGGAAGAATGAATGCAGTGTAAATTGCAGCATTTTAAGTCCGAAAAGGATGAATTCATATTGCAGATGCACCCAGTAAGGCCAGAGAGCTCCCAGTTCATGCAAGAGGCAGGTGATTTTGACTCTAAAATCCAGGATAAGTGGTTGTGGCAGCTCCCAAGCTGGCTGCACATCTGGGTGTCACCAAGCATGCGACAACAGCCAGTACTGCACTGCATATGTTGCCTCGGAGAACTTCAGCTACACGGCTACAAGCAAGCAACAAAGCTTCAACTTCCTTAATTCTGTGGCACTCAGATTTAGATTTAGATGAGACAAACCTTAGGTAGGAGCCCAGTCAAGCTCCCTCAGGGCATGAATGGAGCCTATGGACTCTGGGAGCAAATGTTTTCATAGGCAACTCAGTCTTCCAAGGCCAGCAATCCCTTCCAGATATTCTTCTTTACTATTCAAGCCTTTTCCATCATTTTTCCACTTCATGCCATCTGCTTAGTTTCTGCTGGTTTAGGGGTGGTTTTTTTTCTGGGCTACAGAGCTACCACTACCTGCTATGGAGGAGGGATTCCAAAGTCTGGAATGGTAACCTGGTAGCTGGAGCTTCAGGGGAAACTACTTGCTAGGTCATTGCACTGGCTGATTTTCTCTATTTAAAAATATTGATCAATTAGCTTGCAAAATTAACATGATTAGAGTTGCATTTTCTTCCATAAGAGAACAAGTCATATTATATTGTTAATAATAAAGGCAGGATAAAAATCTGTACACAATTCTGGGTGGTTTTCTCACACTTTGAATCTGTTGCCTCACTGAAAAGATGATGAGATTTAAGCCATTGCTAGTTACAATGCATGTGTGGACAAATACTATTTTTATAGAAACAAAGATCTTTGTTGTTTTGATGTTGTTTACTGGGGTGTTTCCACTGTGGTCTCCACTTAACCTTGATACTGTGTAGTGAGCCTGTGCTCTTCTGTTTCCTCTGAGCAGAGCTGCTTCTATGCTTTACTGCACCACAGCCACCAACAGAAAGTGAAAGCGTTGCGAGCTTCTCTAAGTCATAAGAGCTTCAGGACATCTGTCTTTCTCTTTTGCTTTTCTAACTGAGATCTCACTCTCCTCAAAGTAAGCGGATAGAGAAAATGGATAAGTTACACAAGATGCTGGATTTCTGCATCCGCCACCAGACCGTTCTGGGTTACAGCATCGTGTCCCTGCTGACGGCTGCCAGCGAGCACATCTTCTCATCTGTGGTGTTCAAGTGTCCCTGCAATTCTAAAAACATGCTGTACGGCTCCGTCTTCCTCATAGTGCCTGCCTTCATCCTCTTTCTGCTTGGCTACATGGTGAACGCCAGGACGTGGCGCCTGCTGACAGGCAGCTGCCCCCCGGAGAAGCGCTGCAGCTGCAGCCCCTGGGGAGTCTGCGCCCGCTACTGCCTTGTCCTGGTGCCAGTGACAGCCAGAGCCTCGGTGGCCCCCCTCACCTGGATCGCTGTGGCCCTGCTCAGAGCCAGCTTCTACGAGTGCGCGGCCAGCGGGAGCAGCCTGATAAAGAACCTTGTGTGTAAAGATAAAGGACTGGAGTGCCACAAACTGATGGTCAAGTTACCCTGCGATGAGAAGTTATCGGAGAAGATATCGAGTGAATTCCTCGCCCTTCAGGCACAGTCCCAGGTAAAGCCTCGCCACTCTTCACCCCACAGGCTTCAACCCTGACTGCTCAGTGCATGTGCCTGCTGGGGACTGTAAACCGTCCTCTCTCATGCTATATAATTTACAAAAGTACACGATTAGCAAAAAAATCATTAGCAAAAAGACACTAACAGAAAGGTAGCAAGTGCATATTTATGCTATTTGCTGGGTTTGCATGGCAATAGTTTGGCACTGTTATTTACAAAACCTCTTTCAAATCTGGGCAGGGAATCAGCCTAGAGACTAGGACTTTCCACAGCAAGTTTTCTTCTCTTTTAACTTAGTCATGGTGCGAGTTCTCTTTTTGCACTTTTACCCCTCTAAATAGCTCAAACTTCTGTAAAGACACATTAGCTGAGGGGAAGCTGAGGTCACGAATAAAGAAGAAGCTGATGTCTCCTTGCAACAGAGACCTGGCAAGTGAAACAAATACAGGCAGCTTGTTTGACCACAAATCTCAGCGCTTGAACCTATTAATAATTTCACACTTGTATTCTCAAAGAATGCTTAATATATGTATCTGGCTTGTTAAGTTTCCTTGTGCTGAAGGAAAACCGCATGATCAAAAAAATAGCCCTTGTGGGTGGATTTTTTTTGTTTGGAGTGAAATGAAACCCCGAAATTTTGGCAGCACTCCAGTTTTGTTTCTGGGTTTGTTTGGTTGTCATCTTAACTCCAGTAAAAAAATCAGGCTTTATCATTTTTTCTCAGGAAAACATGGTTAATGAACTTAAGTTTATAAGAAATTATAGTTACTTGGAATTTTATAAGTCCTTGTTTAGTACAAATTTGTTAAATATTTAGCATGCTGCTTTCTCCAAGAAAAAAGCTGTAAAGGGGCAAATTCTATACCATTGAATTCAGGTAGGGTAAGAAAGGAGAAAAAGCAAGGCAGACTGACTGTTACTGATACTGCAATGGCATCTAAAGAAAACCCAACAATCAAACAAAATCAGAAAAAGTGTGAGAGCATTTTTATTACTGTTCATTATTTTTAATGTGTGATCTACTTTCAGCAAAATTAAGAACCAAAAAGAACACAAATTCATTTCTCTTTAACACTCAATGTTTTTCACTTCAAAAAATAATCAGCCTGAGGTGAAAGGGGGTGCTGTGAGATCTCTGCCTGGAGCTTCCAGCTTAGTACCACTGGGTACTGGAGGGACCAGCATCTACTAGAACCCGCTTTAGGTGGGGCCTCAGACCTATCTAGGGATGTTAAAATCATGTATAAAACAAGAATGAATTTCCATATTCCATAGTCAAATCCATGTCCTGACTACCAAACATACAGGACACAACTTTTCCTGTGTGCTGTGGCAACTGGCTATTTTTTTGCAGGCTCAGACATCAGGGAGAGGAGGTACTTTCCAAGAACAGATAAAACACAGGCAAGTAGGTCTAATTCGCAGCACCAGAGGTGGACAGAGTGATTCTGCACCCTCTGCACTATAAATCTGACCAGAACTGTAGAAACTGCTGGTCAGTATATCTTTGGTCTTAACTTTGAAGTTAAGAAAGCTGGATATAACTGAGGAAAGAACTTCACCTTGTCTTTTTTTTGGTATTCATCCTCAGTCCTACAAGATCAGCCCAGGGATGCAGAAGCTCTGTAAGTCTGGCTGAACTGTGTGCATGGGTTCCTCTCTTTCTGCAGCAAAAAGATTGTTACAGGCACTCCAGGGTGTCTTTGCTTACAGTTTTTGTGGTTTTGCTTACGGTTTTTGCTGCAATGTTAAGTTCTATACTCCCACATATCACCCTGCAAAACCACCATTAACCCATCTATCTCTTTTCCAAGCTGATAGGATGGTTCCTGATAGCCAGCATCATGACTGTGGCACTGATTTCAACATGTATCAACCGCTGTTGCTCCCCGGTTAGCTATCTTCAGCTCAAGTTCTGGAAAATTTACTTGAAAAAGGAACAGGAGCTCTTTGAGATCAAGGCTAAAGAGCATGCAGCCAGGCTGGCAGAGATAAATATGAATTGCTTTTTTGAAGCCACTGACCCAGCACCGTTTCAGACTCCCAGCAATGAAGACTGGCGGAAGATTTCATTCTTGTATACCTTCAATTCGCAAGAGCAGTATTACAGCATGATACACAAGTACATTAGTACAAACAGAGGCAACAGCGTCAGATTCGGGCAAGGAGATCAGAATCCCCCTGGTTTAGGATTTGTGGATGAAGCAAATGCAAGCGAATCAGGATTTTAATGAAACAAATCCTTTGCAACACCTGCAGTATTTTAACCCTGCTGATATAGGAAGAGTCTTATTCTGTGCTCTTACTGAAATCTATGTGAATTGTATGTAAAATCTGATAGTTGTGACCCTCAGCAGATTTGTTTTTAAATACACTTTATTACTTTTGCTTAAGTATATTTCAATAAATACATCTGTCATGATCGGAGCTTTCATATCTTGTTGTTCATTAAGAAGAGCCACATGTGTAAAATAATCAGCATCCACAGAGATGTGAGCATGTACTATGTCAAATTATTACCAAACGTCTTAAGGGCATTTGGCAACTGGAGTGACAATACCAAACCATCGTACCTGGCGGTATCAAAGACACAAAAAGGAATGGAAGTTTTGATCAGAAATTCAGCTTACTTTATAAGCTCTCACTAGACAAATATATCTTCCAGTGGAGCAAGCTGTAGACTAAAATATTTACTTTCAGTCAATTAGTTTCTCAAGGCAAGGACCATATCTTTTAAAATCTGGGAAGCAATTACCATTTTGGAGCTACCTGTGCATAACAAAGGAGCCCATTGGAATGACTTCAGCTGCTTATCAGTCTGAATAGATGAGCAAAAAGATTCCAGCCATTTTACCCCTACCTGCTCAGCAGCTCTAGGTAATAACAGTGAAACTAAAAACTTCCATGGTGGTGAATTTTCTCTCCTGCTGCCTGATCTTGATCACCTTTTGAAGCAGGCCTTCTTAATTAGCGCTACTGCTCATTTGCTGTAATTGCAAGGCTCTTTAATGGAAAAAAAGTAGGCAATTGAATGCTTCAGAGAAAACACATCAACAATAAACTTCATGGGTTTATTCCATTTAAATATTTTAATCCTCTTTTTTTTTTTTTTTTTTTTTTTTTTTTTTCAGAAAAATGCATAATTATTATGGGGTTTTAAATATATATATATTACATATAGGATTTTGGCCCTGGCATCAGTACCTAAGCTATACCTGGATGTCCCTGCCAAATACAGTATTTAACTTGATCCAGAATGGCGTCTAAGTGCAAATTAGAATGTCTTGAGAGGTTAGGCTTATGCATAACTTGGCAGTATAGGCGAAGCTTATATCAACAAACATTTTTAACACAGCTACATACTTAGGGACATTACAAATCCACAATCCATATTAGCAAATAATAATGTTCTTATCAAAGAACATCTAATTATAGGAAACAAAAATACCAGTTTTGAGTGAAGAGTTCAGTTTTTCTCTGAAAAGCTTTTTTTACAAGAGCATTTTAAACAGATGAGTCAGATTGTTTGGTCCAGGCTGTCCTTTCATTCCTCACAGAAATCTTCTCTTTCTAGACAGTAAACTCTAACTTGGAAACTATTCAGGCAGACAGAGAGGAATCCCATTAAGTTGTTTGTTACATTTTCCAAGGAAGAAGGAAGGGAAGAGCCTATTTTAACTAGCTGAATATAACTAGCTTGGAAGCTTCATTCTTATTATAAACTGAAAATAAAGCATATAAAGGGAGAAAAAACCAATTCTGTATATAGAAAAGAATTTTTAAAAGCATTAATTTTATCACAGAGTCACTGGATTCCTGAGTGCTCTTTTCCCTTCAGAAACCTGATGATAATAGAGTAACAAGTGTCCAATTTGTTACTTGTGCCTCCAGGAAGCATGGTTCAGTTAAAAATGTTTCATTTTACCTCTGGTATTGAAGAGTGCATTTGTTCATTGACATCTGGAGAAAGATAAATCTACTCTGGAATGTCATAAGTGGAAGGGAAACAATGTCCTGGTTTCATTTTAATCAGTGCCAAAACATTCTTTGACGCAGTGGGGCCAGGCTTTACCTTAGAGATATAATAAAATACTTCAGGATGGACCGAAGGTCTCCAGGAACAAGCCATGCCCTATTTCATTTCCTGGTGAGAAGCTGCAGTTAAAACACCCTCAGAATATGTGTTAATCCTTCAGCTGCCTCTGGGTGGGCTTTTGCCACTTCCCACTCACGGTCACAACTGCCAGGGTCATTACCAAAGCTGCCTCAGCTCTCTGGGGAAGACACAGAGACAGCACTTCTAATTAAAATCAATGAGCAAAGGCTTCAAATGGGAGTGCAAGACATACCTTCAAGTTTGCTGGCAGCGATGGCAGTCTATTTTTCACAGCTAATATGACTTTTGGGAGAAGGAAAAAAAAATATGTATAAGGATAGAAGCAGATGTTTATATACTGTTTTTGTATGCAGTCATATTTGAATTTTGATTTTTCCTCACCTTTATGTAACATTCATATCTTCTGTATGTAATTACATTTATAAGGAAGGAAATTTCAAAGAGAAGCTTAAGCACACTTGTGAGTGTTTCATTAGACACATTCAGAAGAAGGGCCTACACTAAAATAAGACACTGAGGAACACTGTGAATATGCTACCAAGTGAGACAAGCAAAAAACCTGTATGTGCATTAGGTAGCTAATGTCAGCAACTAATGCTAGTGTGGGGCACTGTTTTTTCTATTATTACCATTTTTCTACCTAACATTTACTTACTCCACCTTTAGAACACAATGGACAAGGTGATCCAGTGTAAGAAGAAAATACAAAAAAACACTAACAGCAAAGCACATGTGCACTGAGCACGTCTGCCCAGACCCTAGCTGAGCCGAGAGGAATGATTGCTGTATGACCAGACGCACAAGCAGGATATGACATGAGTATGAACTAGCACGCAGCCTAGTCTGGCAGTCTCATGTTGCCCCTTGACTTGATCTTAAATCTGTGCTGCCTTGAGTTGCTCAGGCATTTCCGCTATATATTCATTTTCATGGTGGAAATTTATCCTTCAAAACTTACCATGTCCAAGTAGAAGTAAAGATTTCCTTGGGCTGTTTATTCTGAAATGCTGAAACCTAAAGAAACAGCTCTGATGTCCTACATGGTCCATCACTGCAATGTTTGACATAGAAGGAAGGGGAGGAAGCCTTGGCCACACCAAAGTCAGTGTGGCAAGACTGCAAAGGCCCCAGGATGACACTAATGGTCCTTGCTTTAAAAATGTAATATCCATCCTTGACTTTGCTGGCTAATGTCTGCGGGCAGAAAATCTTTTAACAGGACTGAATACACAGAAGTCAGCCTACATGTCACTGCAATGTGGTGACTGATGTTTTTTTAACTGGCACAGACCTCAACAGAAAATATTACCATAGGTGTGTGCATGCACACACACACATTCGCGTGCAAGTCTAATGCAAGAGAAGTTTAAGTAAGAATCATAGAATCTTTCAGGTTGGAAAAGACCCTTGGGATCACTGACTCCAACCATCAGCCCTACTCTACGATGTTCTCCCCTACACCATATCCCCCAGCATCTCATTTGAATGACCCTTAAACACATCCAGAGACACTCCACCACTTCCCTGGGCAGCCTATTCCACTCTCTGACCACTCTTTCTGTGATTTTTTTTTTCCTAATGTCCAGTCTGAACCTCCCCTGTTGCAGTTTAAAGCCATTCCCCCTCGTTCTGTCACTAATCACCTGTGAGAAGAGACCAGCACCAACCTCTCTACAATGTCCTTATCAGAGAGTTGTAGAGAGTGATGAGGTCTCCCCTCAGCCTACTCTTCCTCAAACTGAACAGTCCCAGCTCCTTCAATCACTCCTCATAGGATTTGTACTCCAGGCCCTTCACCAGCTTCGTTGCCCTCCTCTGCACTCGCTCCAGCACCTCGATATCTCTCTCTTACTGAGGTGCCCAAAACTGGACACAATACTCCAGGTGTGGCCTCACCAGTGCAGAGCACAGGGGGACTATCACCTTCCTACTTATGCTAGTAAGAGAATTGTATCTTGCAAAACAAGGACAGTATATATAGGCTATTCACTTTCAGGATAATTATAAAAAGAGAGAATATTTGGTTGGTAGGATGTGGCTTGAAAAAGGAAAAATGGCCACTGCCTTGTAAAGAACCTTTTTGTGGTCAGCCAAAGTTGCCATATGCCCATGTCAGCCAGCTGGGCATAACCTGAAAAAAACTGCACTGAGGGCTCCTGCACAGGCAGTGAAATCAGGCAAATTCCGCAAGACCTTTCAGCCCTGATCAGAGAAGTATTAAAAACAAATAGGGAGACTTGTTACTGGTTGTAACATGTTGTTACATGTTGCAACTAGTTATTAGTATCAAGTAACAGAAGTTGGGCTGAGCCCAAGGCTGCGTAATGAATAGCTTAGCTTTTGTTCTGTACAAAAAAAAATTGTTCTCTTAAAGCTCCATTACACTGTGCAAGCACTGTATGACAATGCTAAGACTAATGGAGAAGGATTATCATGAGGATTGTACAGAGCTGGTGGGAATGAACCCTGCTGCCCCCAAGGTAAGAGGTGCCCCTCACTTAGCAGGATTAAGAGGTAAACAGACCGAGGGAAAAATAGATGAGGGTACAAATCACAACGATAAAATCAGAATTAACTCTGGGCTTTGCTGAACTGAACTGAGGGTTTGCATTTCTTTAAAACAAGTGCTTTGGTTAGAAGGTGGTGAGCTGGCTTTGTGAACAGGGTACTGTGCTAGGATCTGAGGTTTTGTCCAACCCTTTTCCAGGTATCTTGCATTATACCAGCCAATATGAAACCTTTCCTATAACTCAGGTCTCTGTGAGGCTGCTATTTCTCTACCTTCCAGTCATGTTGTGGTAACAAGTCCACTGCCAAGGGGAAGATATACAATGGCCAGTGATGAAGGCCAGGTAAGAACAGGCACAACAACCAGCAAACCAGTTGTGTGGCAATCTCCGAATTTTTATTCGAGTTTCCTTAGATGAGTACAGATCCACAGCGACTATACATAAAATACACCATGCTTTGTTCAGTTTAATAAAATCAGTGTTCTTGAAGAGAAGACTGACTTGAAAAGGCGTTTACTGCCCGGCACCTTTCAAATGTGTGACTGGTGCAGTTGGCTCACCAAAGCCATTTTTACCCTGCATGTCTTCTTCAGAAACAGAAGGTGCATAATATCCCTCAGCAAGGGTTTCTCCCAGTATTTTTTTTTTCATTTATTTCTTCTGTGCTTTCTGTCTTCAGCTTTCCTTAAAAATGTAATTCCTATTTCTGTCACAGCATCACCCTTCAGCCTGTCCTGGAGGAAGGTAACTTCTGCTGGTAAGTGAACCTAGACAGAATCAGATCAGATCAGTTTAGCAAAGAAATGCCCAGTTTTCCCCCTCCTCCAGTATAAAGAACTTTTCCTCTCTCTCTTACCACAAGGGGACTCCCTTTGTCAGCTTTCATAAGGAACGGATTTCTAGATTGTTTTAAAGTATATTTCCCAATTAAGTTAATAAAAAGGGAGTTTTTACACACTGGAATTTGTATAATACATTACCCTTCATTCAAGTGCTTTGCATTCTTCCAGGAATTTAAATTGTGTACTTGATGATTTTGTGATCACATAATTTCCCAGTCATGTACCAATACTTATAATACTTTTATTAATTATTCCTATATCAGATACTATAATTGAGTGATGTACATATATAATACTTGTACATCTTTAATTTTCTTGAAACATAAGATTTACGATTAATTAGACATTGACAGAAAAATAAAGCAGCCCAAAAGTTATCTTTCAAGAAATGCCACAGAAGCTCTACAAATCAGTGACTTTCAAATGATGCCCTTTGCTTACTTTCATAAAAGTCTTAAATTTAAGAACAAAATTTGTAATGACATCTGATACACTTCTGATGCTTTTAACATTATACTCATCCACACTTTGTTCTCCCTTTCAGCAGGTGCTGCAGTAACCTAATAATATTATTTATCTTCACATATTTGTAAAGAATCATGGATGGCTATTACTGATTACACCTATGCAGGAAAATGAGACAAGCTCAAGGAGCAGCAGAGTCGTCCAGCATGCCCCCCTGGCTCTCCACATTATGTGTTAGCTGGCTGTCCGGTCCCACCTGGATTTTGCACCCAAGTCGGCCATGGAAGAGCCAAGCAGGGACAGTGTGGAGGTGAGCCAACCTATGTGCTTCTCTACCTCAGGATCCAGGATCAGTCTGACCCTCTTTTAATTTAGATATAGACATTTAATCTGAGAGAGAAGTTCAACACCACTAAATTTCCTTCATTTACCTGAGCAAGTCGCTTTTCTTTCCTGTGCCTCTGCATATTAACAAAGAATGGAGAAATCTGATGTGCACTTCCTTACCATTTCCAAGGCACCTCGAATCACCCCGCAAAGGAGGTTACAGTAGCAAAGTGATGCTCGTTCTGCTGGCAGCTCCTCCACAAAGTCCACTAGTGGGTTTTTGTCCAGGATTAAGGAGAATTCATTTCTTGCGGCACTACTGCAGCTCACAGTAGGGGTGACTCCAAGGTACATCTTGAAAGCAACCTGCAAAAGATGAAACTCTGATGCTTGAATCTGCTGTGTGCAAACCAGAGGTGAAACTTCAGGATGCAGCATTCTGTAGACCAGCTTTACCCCAAGAAAATAGGGAGAAGGGCTGGAGAGGCTGGAAATTGAACTAGATTTGTCTCTTCTGTGATCAGCTTGAGCGAGAGATGTAAATCCGGAGCTACGGGATATTCCAAGGAAGTACAGCAGAAGGCTGCTTATTCTGTCTTTGATGTTCCTACATTTACAACCCCACAGTGGTTTCACTGTTATCACTGGTCTGCTTTCAGTCATGTCACGCTCCCCTGGGACCATCAGCATCTCTGTTAAGTCCTTTACTACATTGCCGGCAACTTTGATAATTACAGCTCAAAAACTCCTGCAACTGATGAGTGTGTGTTTTAACTCCCATCTCCATCTGCTGTCACAAAAAGAAACAACCACCTGCCAAGAGTAAGACTGCCAAGACTGCAGACTTGATGATATAGAGCATTGCTTGCTTTCCTTCCACCACCAATGAACGTTACTGCAAATGTGCAACATCTGCTCTGCTAGTGGAGGGGTCCCCTGTGAGCGCGTTTCTCCAGACAGTGACATCATGGCGTTATCTAGACAGGGCGTATGCAGGCAGGCTAGCAGCAGGCTGCTCCTCCTCTGGAGAGCTTGCTCTCCCCTGCTGCACCACTACAGACTGCTACAACCAAAGATAAAGTGTCTTGATTTCTACCTCTTTAGTGAGTGTCAAACATGGATGGTTTCCAAGCAATGATGGCATTCTTTATTAACTGGAAAACTACTGTAGGTTACAGTTTTATGGCGCTGCTGACAATGGGAGGTGAACGTCTGTTTTCTCTTGTTGCTTTCAGATGCCCCTGCAGCAATGAAAACTTCAGGTACGGTTTGGTATTTCTCTTCTTCCCAGCTTTTGTTTTACTAATTATTGGATATTTCATCAATCGCAAGACCTGGAAACTTTTTACGGGCTGCTGGGTGAATCCCAGAAAAATATTCCCCAGAGGGAATATCTGCCATTTTCACTTTAAATGCTCTGGTAGCGCCAGTGATGTGGCTTTTTGTGGCTTTGCTCAATGGGACTTTTTATGAATGTGCCATGAGTGGCGTGAAAAATCCCGCCTATTTACGTGCAGTTTGCCTCAGCAAATCTACAAAGTGCTTTGAAGAGCTACACAAGGTAGCCTGTGACAGAGGCTCCATGACCTTTCCAGAAAGTGATGAACTGAAACGAACTCTTCAAGCACAGTCCCAGGTAAGAAAAATAAATAAAGAGCATTATGCAGTTTGTACTGCCTCTGTGATTTATCTGTGAAAGACTCCGATGTCAGATGCTCAGATAAAACCATTGGTTTCAAATAAGAAAAGTTTTGGCATGATGCAGCCTTGCAAAAATACAATCAATACATCTTTTAGTTCAGTTTGAGCTGTGCCATACTTCCTGGGGAGTCCCACTGACAGCAGGATCAGTAAGATCAGATAACTTAAATCTTTCTTCCTGAATGAAGATTGCTCTAAGGAGAAAAATACTGTTTAGGAGGCTGAATTAACAGATGTCACTCCATTAAAGGGGTCTGTCCAACTAAAAAATCGATATCACATTCTCCTATTTTCTACCATCATGACAACTGTAATGAAAACTTAGGTCACTAACAGTAGAAAAATGCTCGAAAATAAGATTTGTGACAGATTTATGTCTGCTTACATAACATGTTTCTGTTTGTGTTCTTCATGTTAATGATGCCAGATGACAGCATGGTTTTGTCCTACTTGGAGGAAGGAAGAAACACTAAAATAAAACAAGCAGAACATGCAAAGCTTAGATTGTATTACATTTTACTATATTCATGTGATACAGTTCTTCTCACCGCCTTGTAAAGGTAAATAAATTCAGAGACAAAAAAATCAAGACAAAAAAAAGAAAAAACAGGCTACAGAAAATGATTGAAAGATGATTGTCAGCAGGAAGGAAAAACACTCTGTGGAGCCAGAAAGTTTTTGTCAAGACATTTTTTTCCATCTGGAACCATTTCTTCCCCAAGAACCAGTTTTATTTTCAAGTCCTCATGCAAATAGGACTGGAATGAAGACAAAGCCTGCACTGCAGACAAATAATTTTATTTGAGAGCTTTAGAAGGAAATAACAAATACTGCTTAAGACTTTAAGTTGTATGTATAGGAAATACTGAAAGACTAGTGACTCACTTTATAGCATGAGAATACAGGGGTTCATTCTCCAAGCTGTAAGAAAGTGAAAAGCTGCTAAAAAGGCAGTTTCTCAAATACTCATAGAAATCATCAGTCAGCACAAAGTGACTAGAAAAATAAAAGAAAGTGAAGCTTTTCTTCCAGTCCATAAGAATAATTGTTTGTCAAGTTTCACTGTTTCACATATTTCCCTGAGGAAACATTCTATAGTCTCTCATCTTAATACAGATTTTTACTGGCAGTTATTTTTTTACCATCAGTGCAAGAGTTCACATGAGAAAAGTTACAGCTCTGCATATCATCACTATTAAAGCATGGCAAATCAGTTCCAGTTTAGATGGGTCTTGAAACCTAGCAGATTTGTTCCACACTGGAATTTGTTCCACTGTTTGAAAACAAGTAATTTTTTTGCAAATGTTTCACATTACAGTACAGTAGGTGGGTAAAACTATTGGCTAGGCCAGTGGCACGAGGCATGAAAAAAATTGTGTTCACACCTCTGCTCTCCTTAGAGGAGAACATCCCACAATAACAATTTCAAAGCACATTTTTCCGCCCTCAGCCCTTGCTTTAATCCTGGAAGTAACTCTTTCTTTTAAAATGTTCTTAACGGAATTTTGTCAAAGTCTGAACTTGCAACAAAAAAAAGTTGAGTGATGCTGGAAAAGCGTATTTCAACAAAGTTCTCTGAAAACACAACAATGATTTTTAATCAGTGTGTAGATGATCTGAGCTCTATTCCAGTGCCAACACAGACCTGCCAACACACAAGCTATTTCTTCTTTCTCATGCACTCTCCTCCCAGCATTCTCACAGGATTAGGCAAGAAAGTAATTTTAAAGCAGTTTTGGCATCAAAAATTATTTTCCACTATAAAGGGCTGATTCATCAAACACAAAAAAGTTCACAAGAATAGCATAGATTTCACTGAACCTCCTGGTAAAAGAATTGGGGAATGCTTTTTAAATTTCAAACCATCTTTTATATTTCTGTTACCTTATTAATGCAGTTGGTGTTTTGGGTTTTTTTAATTAAAAAGAAGTCTGAAAACAACACATCTAAAAATGGTCACAGTTTAAATGGTTGATTGAGCTGGGATAAAAGTTACTTACCTTTTTGGTTTTGGAGTTCATCACAATTCAGAATTGTGTCTTAATCCTAATTCTTCCTTGTGCAATTTTAGTTAATGCTTTCAGGAGATAGAAAACCATTTAGTGATTGTGGTATTTTATTCTCCCTAGGCACTTTTCCCTTTGTGTGACAGAATCCAGTGAGCCAGTCCAAGACACTACATGCCAGATGGTTATAGTTTTGCAATATACTCTCATCAATATCCTCTCTAAATTACCCAGATGCTACTCCTGATCTCAGGTCCACTATGTTTTCTGAATAGCTCTACTCAGCCATAACATTATTTGATTGATCACTTAGACCTCTCTTAGACTTTTCTTCATACACAGTCTTGTAGTTTAAGTCTGATTCAAGATCATCTGTCCCGAACCTGCCATTGCCGTTGCACTGGACATGTCTCTTCAGCTGTTATATGTGTTCCCTTTGTTGTAAAATAGGATGGAGAGGCAGCCAGACTCTAGTAAAAACCAATTTCTCTTGAGTGTTTTATCTTCCACTGTAAAAACCAACCAGCTTTTGCCTTCCTGAAAAGAAGACATCAAGATGAGTGCTACTAAGAATCCTCAATCTTGACATCTTCTGCTTCCCTTTGGTCCCCATATGGTCACTCCATTAACGCTAATGCCAGGCACCAAGTGCAAACTGGGATACGATGCCCATAGTGGGGTCCCAAGAGGAGTGGCAGGCCCACTGTACAAAGTGCAGTCACTCTGTCAGACACTCTTGATTTAAGTAGCATTTTTACTTGAGCATTTTTAACCTGAAACTCCTTTCTTTTTTTTTTTTCCCCCAGATTTTAGGCTGGTGTGTGATAGCTACCACAGCTCTTCTGTCCCTGCTAACCACTTGCTGCGTCAGCTGCCAGTCGAAAGTCGGCCACCTCCAGCTCCTGTTCTGGAGGGTGTATGCAGAGAAGGAGAAGGAGCAATGGATCAGATTTTCCAGCTGTATGCCACCAAACTGAGCGAGAGAAACCTGCAGTGCCTTTTTGAGAACAAGGAGCCAGAAGAGTTTCCCTTGCCAGATTTTCAGGAGTGGGAAGCTGCCTCCCAGCTCTACTCTTTCAGCAGTAGCAAACAGCATTACAGCACAATTCACAGGCTAGTTGAAGAAGGCCCGAAAGAAATCAAAGTGGAAAGACAGACAGTTCTAGACTTCGTAGACAGAAGGGAAATAAAATAGATCAAGTATGTTTTCAGCTTTTTAGTATCTTGATAATATAGCATACTTCTAGCTGGTTTCATGTCTATGTTTTTTTCACAATGGCCTCTTTCTTCTTCATGACATTCTCTCCCAGTTACAAACTTGCTCCAAAAGGATGGAATGAAATTACTTCCCTACATCAGTGAAAAGGCTGCAGTCCTCCATGGCACCCAGGGTTCATGCTCTACTAACGACACTGGCTCTGGATCAAGAGCTGACAGCAAAAAGAGATGAATACTGACTTCTACAAGAGGGTTTTAACTATACCCTATGTAAAAGGCACTATAGTATGCTCATCCTATGTAAATGAAGAGGCTATCAGAAAGCAACACCATTTAAAAGGTATGAATATAATAATAGATGTGTGTGGCCTTCTGACAGCCCACAAAAAGTAAAGGTTTTGCTTCCAGGTCATTTCCAAGCCATTTGCAGGTACAGCATTGTTTTGACGCATCAGTGGTCACTCAAGGCATCTCAGTGTCTGCACCTAGAACACTACAGATGGTCATGGTGAACAGCCTTGGTCTTCTAGTCCCTGAGACATCTACCTGGGACATGGGGCAGTGACTTCCACTGACAGTGAGGTGCCAGGCAGTTTTTTAGACAAACCTTACAGCCAAAGTGTAGGGTACCAAGAGCTTGAAACTTTTGTGGGTTTGTTAAAAAAGAACATGCTATTTTGAAACATAATCAGTAGTTGTTAGTGCTTTGCTACAATAATGAAAATGCATCAATGATATTTTGCCTTCATAGAGTACTTGGTATTATCTTCTCCAGATAATTTCTCTTTGTAGAGGTATAAAGCTCCTGTTCTGAGTGGGTTTTGGACACAGGATGCATCCTGTAGAGCTATGTAACACTGTTTGTACTGGGCCTACAACCATTGCATGACAGAGGGCATGGAAGGAAATTCCACGTTTTAAGGCAAGAAAATATTTTTGCAGCAGGCTGATTTTCATTTTTCTGAATAAATTAGGAAATTTGTCTGGAACTGGCAGAGAATGCAGGTGAGGTGACTGCATGATCAGTGCTTCTGCGCTTCACCCCAAGAGCCCTATGCTTTACTTGGAATTCATCACATGGCTCTCACACAGCTTGTCCAGAGTCTCTGCTGTCTAAAAGGAGAACAAAATTTCTGCCAAGTTTCTTCCCCTGGGGTGACTGGGCAGGCTTTTATACAGCATTTTACTGCCAGTCTCCCCAAGACTGCAAAGAATCCTATTTCTGCTCTGCTTGAATCAGGCTCTTAACAACAAACCAAGGTACTCTGCCCAGCTGTTCTCATACTCATTACACTTCCTCAGCAGAAAAAAATATCTATCTGCATTTACAGACCATTACTCTTTTAAAAATAAATGTCAAGAGCTAATTCCACTGCATGCTTAGAATTTTCTCTCTGTGTTTTGAAGAATTTGTCATCTTTGAACAAAGCTTTTAAAGTTTTTTACTCCAGCTGACCCACCATGCAGCAGACTTCGAACATGTTATATGCCTAAATGTACCTGCTGCAGCAGAAAGCACAGAGGTAACACTGACAAAATGAAAGTCACAACAACAGGCATGTCTGACACCATGTCTGGCACATATGCATTTTTCTGCCAAGGCTCCTCTCCCAGTATAGCAACTATTTAATTCAAGGGTATATGTCCCTCCCTATTTGTCTGCTTTTCTCTATCAGAGATGCCCCAACATCTACTGCCCAGTCCCAACTCACCTTCTCTCTATATGCAAGGGGAGAGACCACTTAACAGGATGCCCCCCCTGCCTGGGCCAAACTTCCCTTCCCAAAGCTATCTTTCCACCTCCCTCCTCACTGGTACAACAGAAAACCAAAGCAAGTTGGGATGCAAAGGGGAGGATGCTAAGTAGGTCAATGAGCTGATCAAGGAATATGGGAAACAAGTGGGTTGATGGAAGGATGAGGTCTCCACCGTGATATAAGAGCTGGGATCCAGATGCAAAAGCATAGCTGGTAGAGGTGGGAAGACAGAGGGTTACCACTTTGGGTGTTTAGCACCCTCTTTTTTTCCTCAGGAGAAAGTTTAAAGCTCTGCACCTGAGTATTCAGGACCACCTGAAAGAGGAGTGTTTCCCAACCTGGCCTCCTCCTTCACTGTGGAGGGGCCAAACCAAGGTGCATTATCCTCTCCTCATCTTCACCCTGCTTCATGTTTGCAGGTAACTCATGTTGAGAGTGTCCCCACCTCTAAGAGCAGCTGCTGAACACTTAGTGCTGCAACATGTACATGGCAGGAGCCAAAGTCTCACCCTGACCTTCATTCCTTAGGGCTGTGTTACTCTAACTGTGTTGTCTTACCAAAATGTCTGTGACTTAATGCAATTGCATGTGGATTCTGGTATGCCACTATAAAAAACAAAAGCCAGTTTGAGCCTATGCTTTCAACTGAAGTCTGGTTTTGGCAAATCTAACCCTGTCCTTCAAGCAGCTATCTCAAAAGCTGTTTTGTATCAACATTGTCCCTGAAATAAATTTCAGCAGCTACTATAGCAGCTCAGAAAGAGGCAAAGACTATTGTCAACACTATCCAAAACAAACTGGGGAAAAAAAACAAAAAGCAAAAACCAGCAGAATCATAATTTTCTCTTGGAAAATTTAGATTTTGCACTGACTCTGATGTGCATCAAAATATGAGTTCACAAATAAACAGGAAAATTCTGCTCAATTCTCTGTGCTTTGTCCCTTAATTTACTACTTCTTCTCTGTGAGAAACCATTTTTTTCATTTAAATTCTCTTAACTCTTCTTCTGCTACACATCTGCTCCTCCATCAAACTTTTAAGTCTTTGTTGCAAGAACAAAAACTGGTTAAGTGTTCTAGGCTCTCATATGCTTTCAATTTAGTTTCAGCTGTAATATGCATTATGGTATGACAAATCTGTCCAAATTCTATTGTTAAAATTTCCTGTGTAAAAGAGAACTTGCATGGAAACTATGCAAAACCAGTAGCTGGTTTGCAATGGAGCACCAAATTAAGGCAAAACTGCAAAGAGCTATCAAGTGAAAACTGTAAAAAAGTGTCAGCAGAAAAATAATTTAAGTACATAGATAAGTAATTCCATTAATAGATATGAACACTGTTTTCAAAAACAGACTATGACTGGACAGGAGTTCCTTTAAAACTACCATACACAACTCAGAGAGTAAAACCAAAGGTCCTTTCAAACTTTCTTTGTGACTCCAAATGACAAGGAAGTAAAATGAATGAGCGGTTTTGAAAGTTGCATCCATAGATCTGTCTCGTTTCTACCTATATGAAATGGAAGAAAAAATATCTATTCTTTTTTGAGTACACAGGCACAATATCAAAATGACACCCATATAAAGCAAAATCTCTTCAAAATGTCACTTGCAACTCTATGGGATTATGTATTACTAATGTCAAACAAGAAATCTATGCAGTCAGAATTAAAAATGTACCACTGCCTTTTTTCAAAGTCTCAACCAGCATCCCATTTCTCTCAAGCAGCAAGAATAAAATTCATTAACATTTTGATGGTGCTCAAATACAATCTAGAATTACTGAAATAATTAGGAGGCCGCTAACTTATCAGTCCTTTTATATACTACTGGAGACTTTTCACTACAAAACATTGTATGCGTAAGTAATGTCACAAAGCAAGTGATAACAGAGACTGTTAAAGAAAATGAAACCATGTTTCAGATGACATAAAAACAAGATTAATAAAAGACCAGAATTAATCTGCATAGAAGGGGAAAGGCAGCCAAAATAAAATTCCTGCTAGCATACTTTTCATTCTGAGTACTTAGTCAGTGTTTGGGAAGAGCAAGATGCTTTAAAGGTCTTGCCATCTGTTGCTGTTTCCACGTGCTCACAAACTTTTCTTTATTGTTTACAGTGCAGCACTTCATATTGCAGTTTACTGTCTACCACTTAGCACAGCAACCTGCTGTATGCATTTCTCACTGAGATTTCACTGCTGAGATTTCAAAAGAAACATTTTCCAGCTTCATAAATTCTGCCAGCTGCCAGACTTTCAAACTGCCCGTAGGTCAATATACAGGGATCTTGTGTGGCAGGATCTCCCAAGGGAAGGAGAACCACATCTCTTGTCTACAGTTCTGAGTTTGGGGGTGACATGGTTGGATTACCCCAGCAGAAGTGGTCCCCAAGGGCCTCTCTACAAGCAGCTTCAGAGATATAAATTTACTGCATTCATGGAGTACTGAGCTTCCATCATAAAGCCCATGTCTCCAGCCACTGCTTTTCAGGGATATAACCTAAGGCACAGCATTGTATTAACACAGCTATGGAGCTTGTGAGCTCACTGTGGACCAGAGGGCATGGCCCAGTGGCTCCCACCTGTAGCATACACAGACACCTCCTGGGGCATGGTGACTTTGAGATATAGAAGGTAACATTATTCTAGGATTAGATCTAAATCCAGAAACTATTTTTTTTGCATGTCTTTTGATCAGATCAATGATGCTAGAGGTCTTGTGAAACAGAATTGAAGTTAAAATTAGATTTTGTAGAATTATAAAGCAAAATTATCACCCTCACTTCAAAAGTAATCCTCACTTATACTTAGATCCAACTTCTGAATCCAGCCTTGGACATTACTTCTTCAGCTGAGCTTTGTTTCCTCAGCTGATTTCCATTTTCTTATCCCAATTTGCCAGTGAGCAGAAAGACTACTTTTACATGGCCTGCTTTATCTTTTTTTAATTCTACCCTCACTGTAACCATGCGAAGTCACAACACCAACATGAGAAGTCAGTGAGCACTATGGGAATTCAGTGTAGAAAGACTCACTTTGACTTATCATCAAAGCTTGTTGGCCCTTCTCCAGTCCAGTATAAATTAGCAGTAAATCCCAGGCTTTGTAGTCTCAACCCATAGTTGAAGTTTTAAGCCCTCAGTCACTGCCTTAGGTGCCTTTTTCCTCTGGTATTTATTTCTTAATATGGTAAACTGGCTCTGTACTCCTCATTTTATATTTTTTCATTTGCTTAATCTCTTTCCATTTCCACAGGGAATATTCACAGCCTAATTTTACAGACTTTTCCTTTGCTTTCCAAAGGACTGCAGGATAACAGCGATGTTTACAGGAGGTTTGGCTCTACTTGAACTGCCTAACTGCCTTAATTGCTTTAACTTTGAACTGGTTTTACTCTATATGCCCATCCTTAAATAGATTTCTACCTCAGAAGAGTTAGTACAGTTAAGTATTTAAGAACCTTCTCTTGGCTGAGAACACTACTGTTGAATAGTTAAAGAGATCATGTAAACAGCTGTGTAATTCTGAACTGATAACTTTAATAGTGTATTTGCAGTTACTTGCAACAGTCATTTTACATGTGCTTTGTTGATATGTGCCTCAGACAAATGTGCTTGAAGACTATTTGAAAAACGTTTTGCCAAAGAAATGTGAAAATGCTTTCCATATCACATTTTACGTCAGAAAGGTTACACTCCTACTATAGAACTCCTATTTTAGTTTGCTAAAAATAATCTTTTCAAGAGACTGTGTGCTTTAAAGTTCGTTCTAATCTTTCCAAGTGATTTTAGTTCTCTCGGCAAGTCTCTTTTGAACTAAAACCTGCAGAGAAATAGTGTCTTTTCCCTTACTTTGATGGTTAATTTCACACTGTATTTTGTTGAATCCGCTGTACTTAAGAATGATGGTTCAACTGCACTAAAGCATTTGTAAATAAGGGAACCAGAAAGCCAGATATCTGGCATATATGTGAAAATCCAGACAAAATAAAATACAAATACCACCCAAAGAATAACTTAAAAGTGAACAAAACCATGATTTTGCAGCCTGGTATCATTCTTTTAAAGAGACTGTATTTTAATATGGTGACTGAAATGCTGCTTGTCTCATGGTTTTCATTCAGCTGCCCTCACTGTCTCCAGTGGATGTCCAACCTGGGTCAGCTCCTCCAGAGGAGAAGCTTCGTTATACATCTGAGACTCCAAAATACACTTTACTTCAGGAAAAAATTTAGTTTCCACTCTTCTGTGAGCTAATGGGATCTGGCTGGCTTTTAATAACATTACCTGCTTCTGCTTTAAACTTTGGCAGATCATGGTGTATGTGTGTGTTGTGCCTATGTGCACTTTATGGCCCTACCAGCAACAGCAAGTGCAGAGGTCCTGTCTGTATTTCTGTAACAGCCATCAGTTCATCTATGACAAGCATTCTGGAGTGATAACAAAACTTATGTCCCTCCATTTCAGTCAGATGTAACATAAGTATTTCTGACATGGTTAATGTGAGCAGGATCACACATCACCTGATAACATCATATGGTTACATGCGGAAGAATGGCGAGAAGATAGGCAATGGAAGTCAATACAGCTGTTTCCCAGATTCTTTATAATAAATCCCTTTATGCTCTGTTAAGGCAGCAGAGATTTCTATTTCACATTGTAGCATATTGTTGCTTATGTTGTTCTTGGATGGGTTTCTCCATATGTGTCCACCTGCAAGGCTATCCACTAGCCATCGTGTCACCTAGATTTACTGCACATGCACATTCTCACATAAAAACTTAATGAGTCCACACCAATTGTTCCTTGCCATGGACCATTGCTCCACAGTGCCTTGGACCTCCCCACTTGCTGTTTACCTCGCTTGGGTAACTGCTGGGAAACCCCTGCTGGGATGCTGAAGTAATAAAAACCTTTTGATCATCTTTACATGTATTTTTTGTGCATCTGACCCTACTTGGGTCCAGTAAGGTGTCACCGCTGTCACTGCCTGGATCAAACATCCACGTACACTTTGAACCAAGACACTCCTGTATAACCAACATATACTGGTGCACTGTAGAGAAAGCCTGTTCTTTCCCAGTTCTGCAGTCGGCAGTTAAACATAATAATGTTCACATTTAGTTGATGCTGCTGGTAATTCTCAAGTAATCAAAAAGTCTGCCAGGCATATTTTTGACTCCTCAAATGAGAAAATGGAAATGAGTCTCAGTTCAATTAACTGATGCCCTGATCTCTCCTCTTAAAACAAATGACTACCTAGCAAACAGTTCTTTGTTATAAAGTGTGGTTAATTTTTGCCATTGGGAAAGCCCAGGCATATCTTCACTGTCAACACTTCATAGCTGAAAATAATAAAGGATAAAAGGGATCATTTGCTATTACCTGAGCAGGTATTAGCCTGAGCTAACTCAATATTTATGAACTACCACCTTCTTCACAGTGACTCAGCAGCCTAAAGGGGCTATATGTCCTATGGATTTCTCTTTGAGCTTCCCCAGGAAATCTGACTTGCCCATGAGGGCAAAAAAGCATCCTTAGAAACCTGTGTATTGCCACTTAATTTTCTCCTAGGTTTTTCTTGTCTGACAGTAGTGTGAAAGACTACTCAATAAAAAGGGAAATTTCCATCAAAGAAGGTAAAAGTACCCACTGTGATTCTATCTTTTTGATTTTATTATTAGAATTGTGGGTAGTGAGGAAAATGTTCTTCTCATTTTCCTTTCTTACAGTTCTCTGCCAAATCTTCCTTTTGCAGAAAATTCTGCAGTTTATTCCTAATATTATCATTTTAA